AAACCAAGACTTCATCAGATGTCGAGATTATGTTATATCACGTTTGGCTATGATAACAAAATCATAATAACAAAAACGTTTGTTCACTTGGCCAGATGGCAAATATTATATTATTTACACACAATAGTTCATTTTGCCCCATGTGCCATTTTACCCTAGGTTACTCTATGAAAATCTGATTTTAAATTTTGAACGAAAAAGTATCCCTTGAACTTTACCGAACTGATAAATAAAGTTTTATTTTCGAATAAGAGAAGGTGTTTTAGATTTTATTGATTGGTGACCTTGGTTGATTAGGGCGTGCACTTTTATGCACGAACAACAGTGTGTCAGTTAGTTTTTTTGAACGTAAATTTACAGATTATTGCTACTTGGTACTAATGACTCTTAATTATCTTAATAATCTAAGGCATACAATTTAAATTTGTCTACCGAAATATTAAATTATACACATACATAGTGTTTATATTGTTATGAATATAATATGAGTATTTGACGTGTTATATTTGACATGCTCAATTAATTCTTAAATTTTAATTTTCGTTGAATTATTTTTAAATGATTGTAATTTATTTGCATGTGATATGTATTACTAAATTTTTGCAGACTAACATGTAAATACAATTTTTACATCAACGATATTTCCGGTTGTATGCTAAATTTAAATCGCAACATTGATTTTTGATCTGTGCATCAAAGTGGAATCATTTTATTTATCGATTATCTTATAAACAATCTATTAATTATAATTTGTAAATGTTTAAAATGTTAAGCACCGAAGCAGTAAGCGGTAATAACTTAAGAGGTGTATAATTATTTTCTTGTTATCTACTCACTTAGTCTACATGCTACAATATGTTAATACAAATTACAAGGTGATCTTTTAAAAAGTAAACCAGGCTAACTTATAAAAAAATGAATACACGATACCTAAACATTATATTATAACTTTTAAAAGATTACTGTCTACATCTTATTTTATATTGTTTTTGTGATTACAATTATTTTATTCCTTTCATTCTGTTTAAAATAGTCGTTAGATGAATAAGATTATTTATCATGACATTCGTTCAATCTAGTCATCATAATAGTTAATCATATTTTTAAGCAATTTCTATTTTCATTAGGTACTTCATACATGGGGAAAAAATGAATAACTATTTAGTCAAAAATGATCGGGGGTAAGTCACTTTGAGTCGAACACTAACAACTAGAAATTTATGAACATTTGAATAATTTTATTATTGCCATTCAACACAAACCAATATAACTCATATATTATTATACATACTATTTTGAAATGTATTAATTTATATTATTATATTATTTTTGTATTTTATATATTATATTTAATAGCTATACGTTTTCTTTGTAATTATTAATTATATATTATAATACATATTAACTGTTTATTTTATTTTTTTTATTTGCCATAAATTGACCATCACTGTTGACTGTTGTATTATAATAATAAAAAAAAATTAATTATATTAATAATATATATTATATTATATTTATAAATAAATAGATTCGAATGGATAAAACCTTCGTTAACTTTTTTTAAATTAAAATGATAATAACTATAATATGTACCAATCGACTAAAATATGATTTTTTAATACAAACGTCCAACTCCTGGTTAGTAGGCAACTTAACTTTCGCTCATATCGAGTTTTGATCTTAATTTTGTTTGGCGCCTATTATTATAAACATACAAAATATATTTCTTTAAAGCTTAAACGAAATATTATGTTTCAGAAGGGGCATTACATTAAATAACAAATAAATACTTGATTTAAAATAATTTTGTTTACAGAAATGTGTATAATATGAGTATGTAATTTGTTGACAAAATATTAAATGGGTATTTAAATTAGACATATTTTGTATTCATATTCAGTACTCGGTATGTATGATTGTATGAGTAATGATTACTGAGTATAGATTTATTATTAAAAAGAAAACACGTTTCCTCATAATAGTCATTATTTTTGTCATTTGTTTTCTCAAATACAATATTAAGACGGAATAAGCTTTAAGAGATAAATTATTCTGTACAAGAGTATAGTGTAATCGAAATAGGTCTATTGTATTATGTTACAGTATTTACAAACACAATTGACAGTCTAATAGAATAAATTTGAATACAGAACATGAATAACATGAAACAATTCGTATTTATTATTACAATACAATAATAAGTATTTAATCTTAATGATAGTTGAGTGTAGTCTGTCTGAAAAAAAAACATTTTAAAGCACTTTAAATTTGTATTAATATTAATTATTTCTTACATAACTAAAGCACGAGAACCTATGTACAATTGTGGAATACATACTGTATTATATGTTTTACGAGGTGTTTATATTCTTATATTTCTCACAGTGTGTCCATATCATTATGAAAGTTATGAGAATAATATTAGGCATTAGTTGTTTTAATTCTTATAATTATATTATTTAGACGTATTTGAATACATTTTTTTTTTAAATATTTCTTCCACTTAAACATACAAATAATTTTCAGTAAAATATTATGATAACGAATTAACAATATTTTTAGAAATTACTATTTTTCAAGAGTTACAGCTATAATATTATGTATAAAAGAATGAATTATATTTTTGAAAAATGTATTTAAAAACTTCGACGTATTGTTGTCGACTCCCATTCTATTACAAGTTTATTTTAATGGATAAAAAAAATTAAACCTAATTGCAATAATTTTTTCTATTTTATTCGAGGACACACACAGCGGGATTCTCTGTATATTATGTTCATTGTACAAGTGTTTACAATTTCAAATAACTATTATATTACAATAATATAGTGTGTTTTAATTTTAAATTCCTCGGCTAAATGTTTTGATAACATTTTTAAGCTCTATTTTATACTTTAATTATTAATATTTATGTATTCTAAATAAAAATAAACACAATTTTCCAGACAGAAAAACATTTAAACTGTTTTTCAATATAATAGTTTAGTAATCAATATTTATTTTTCAATTTTTAAGATCTATATTAAGTATTATAAGACTAAACCTTTCACAGTACATCAATACATATTATTATTCTAATGACATTAACAGAGTATAATTTAGTTACTTCGCTAAAATAGGTTAGTTTTTTATGAGTAATTTCCCATCTAGTTCTCAATAAAAACATTAATAACAAATATTTAGTTTTAATTTAAAAAAAGTTATTATACATTTTCACATTTTCACGTTTTCACTAAAACATAAATCGTATACGAAAATAATAAACGGTTTAATAACTTATAATATCATTCATTATAATCAGTATTTTCATGATATATGTCCATCGATGAAATTGCATGTACCTATGAGATATAATATGAGCCGTGGTAATTGGTAAGAGAAACCTAATAGGTATATACCTAATTATACGGCTAAAATGATATTTTGTTTTATTTATTCTCTTCGTTGATAATTGATTGTAATTGTAGGTTGACATCTTATTATTTATACATTTTTTAAATCAACAGCATGGTTACCGGCATTACGAAATGTTTTTTACATTATGTACATTTTATGATACATATTTAAATATAAAATATGTTTAAGAATATAATAATATAACTCACATGCGGCAGTAATTGAATTATTGGTGCCGTTGTTTCTGGATTGGTTTACTCTGAATTTATTTTATTTGTTATAAATGTACAAACATATAAGCAAAATAATAAAAAGTGCTGCTATCTTAAATTATAATATTTTCACTGCATATAATAAAATGTGTAAGAAGTGAAGCATAGAATTATTCTCATTAATATTTCTGGGGACAAAAAATATTATTTTGTTGGCACATTGTAATCAAACTAATAAAATATGAGTACTTAATTACAGTACTAAATACATATTAATATGTTGTGTTTTAATGGTGTGAATATGTTTTTTTACATAAAAATCGTTACTTAAAAACACAAGATAATTTGATTTGTTATTTTATTTGCCCAGTTAATAATAATACACTTGCAATGCCAGTTTTTTGAATGAATAAAATATTTAATGATTGTTTTTACTTGCACAAGAAATAATAAAATGCACCACCAATACTTAATACTAAAAAATAAGATGGTTAGTTTTTTTATACTATTTGAATTGGTGGTCGCTATGAATATTGTACCCAAACATTCAATTGTAAATATTTAAAACAAAATTGCTATTGATAGAAATAGTTATTGGTACTTTCTTCTTAGTTGTTTCACAATCTAGTACCTAGAATCTACATATTATCATCTATTATTGTTTACAACGGGAGCAGCACCCAACTCTATAGGATCCATCTTATTCAAAAATTCGATCACTCGATTAAGTGTAATTATCTTGTGTTTTTTTCTACCGAAACGAGACCACCCAGAAAAACATAAATACATTACCGCCTCATTGTTCGATACAATATGATATTACGGAGTATGGACTAGTGGTATAATTCAAATATCTGTGGAGCTACAGAGAAGGGGAAAAACGATGATAGACGTTGGATCCACTTCGTGTATGTGCTGGTATATAATATTATGGTACACAAATATTGTACAAGTTGAAACCACGAGTATATAGTAATACATTAGACACGTCTTTACCCAAAACCCAAATCTACCTCGTCTGTGTCAGACATATTATTTTTCTTCCTTATCGTTTGTGTTATTATTATTGTTGTTGATGTCGTCGTCGTTGCACCGAACGACGCGTTTATCCCTATTGGAACGCCACTGCAGCAGCAGCAGCAGCAGCAGCAGCAGGTGTAAAAACTGACAAAACCTGCTGCACGACCGTCTGCGAGGAACCGGAGAGAGTCTGGGAGAGACCGAGAGCTAGAAAGAGAGAGAGTGAGTGAGCGAGATGGAGTGTGTGAATGAGAGATGGAATGAAGGACCCGACTGCGAGAGAGACGGCGTCAGAGACCGAGGGCGAGAAGGCAAGAGAGAGACGTTTTAGGTGGGGAGGACCATCGAGCAATTGTACACGTTAAGACTGGGTCTCCACTATTGTTCGAGACGGCCGGTTTGTCTGCCGTGTGTGCGCTGTGTGTATTCCCGTAACGAGCGAGCGAGTGTTTTTTTTTTTTTTTGTGTGTGTATGATAATATATTCTGTGTGTGCGCGAGCGCGTGTTTGAACCCCGAGTTTAAATAAATATCACCATCGCCCACCGCGGACGGGCTCGTTTTGGTTTGTTTTCGAAAATGTGGTAAAATCTCGACGGTCAATCACGAATTCGAAACCGGAATCGTCACCCAACATATCATACCTTTCGTCTAAATACACAATTGTTGTGTAGTGTGTTATTGTCGTCAGGCTAACACCTACGAGTCAAACGCCGACTAAACTCAACTGAACGAACATGCCTTGTTCCGCAGTAACTCTTTCGCTGGCCACCATCACGGCCATAGTGGCCACGGCTTTACTGGCCATCGCTTTTTCCACCGACAATTGGGTGTACTACGAAGTTAGAAGGAATCAAATTCAAGTGAGTACCTATCTCCATGAAACGATGGTTTATTCAAAATGTCAATATAAGTTGTGGGGTTTATGCGGAAGCCTTACTCGTTGCCATCTAATAATAATATAATAATGGTAATACACGACCAAACATAGTCGGTATAATACGGTGTTCAATCAATGTTTGCAGTTTATTATTCTTAGTGTTTTGGTACCCACCTCCATTTACATATTGTATGCATATATATAAATGTATATTATATACTTGACGATGTGTTGTTGGTATACCTATACCGTGTACCTGTGTTGTAGTGGTCAGTGTGTTCGAGAGCCTATTTCATTTTGTGTACGGTTTTTAATACCTGTAGAATCCGAACAATAGGCAATGAAAAATTAATCTATTCGGTTCACCATTGTTGAAAGAGAAATATTATTTATAGATTTTTATTATTCACCGATGAATACATGTGGATGAACACAAGCTGCGTGTCGTTGACTAAACCACCAGAGGTTAAGTTCCCACGAGATCATAGGTGTTGGAAAAGTTAATTTCTGTTTATGCGGTGGTTTGGACTAAAGATTAATTCAAACATTAAACATATACCTATTTATTAGACACAAATTGGTTACGGGAATGCGTTTTTTTTAATATCTCAATCGGGCAATGCCCTTCGTACACAACCACAAACCCTAAAAAAACTACTTGCGTGCAAAAAACACATTATGAGCTAGGTGTTAAATGTTAATGTATTCTATATTATTATGTATATTCAACGTATTTACTATATTTATTATACATTAATGTTGTATATATAGTTACTTAGACAAAAATATTTCCAATTTTGGATAGAAGAGTAGGTACTTATAATTGTAATATTTATAATTTTCTTGAGTTTAATTTAATTCTGTCAATCGATTGCAATATTTTTAATATCTTAAAATGTATTACACACAAAATACGTACGTAGGTACAGTAGTATACACATTACACATATATTAGGACAATGATTTAAGGTCAATAACAGAAATGTTGAAAAATTAATAGAACGTTTTTCATCGGTAAATGGTTATCATTATGCTATGTAAAATAAAAGGATGTAAACTATATATTACAGGTTATCATAATGATAGAGGAACAAAAAATCTATCATTATATTAAGACTTTCCCATTAAATTATAAAATCAAATAACTTCGATATTTCTATCCACGTCAGGCTAGATTCAGTTACATTTACAGTTACCTAATTTGATCATACCACCTATCATATCTCGTTTGGCATATAATACTCATATCATAAAATATTATGCAGTAATGCAGTATATACTTATAAAAGTATACACGAATAGTTTTTTTTTTAATCCTGAAACAAACCCTAAAACCAGTTTCAATATTTTGCGCTTATTGATTTGATAATATTGACATTTAATAAATAATAATAAATGTACGGATGTCTGGTATAGAATATTAATAGGCAAATTAAAATTTTTTTAAAACTGAGGAGGAGTATAATACATTTATAAAAATTTTAAAATATAGATACCGCAAACATTGCAAAAATGTAATGTTTTTTTTTACATTTATAATTTAATACTGATATAAATAAAATAAAATAATGTATTTGCAAATTCAAACAAATTACAGTTTGCTAACTTACAATTTACACGAATCTAATTAAATTTTTTATGTAATATTCAATTTAATATTCATTATTTCTCCAAATATAGCTGATATTTTAAAATATAAATATTAAAATACGATAATCATTGAAATAATTTATAACGAATATTCACAGACCGTCAGCACTCGGCATGACTATTGACTACTAATAATTACCGAGTAAAACTAATTAATTTAAATGATAGCATATTTTTTTCTTTTAAATTCTGATCCTAGTAACCCTAATAATCCTAATTATACGTCATAATGTTCATATTTTGTACCGAAAAAGAGATAATATGATGTAATTATTATGATTATAATATCCCATTATACGAGATTAGTTATTAGTTCAACGCTAATAGGAGAATTTAATGGTTTTCTATGGATGCTTAACTTATGTCATTAAAAAATTCAAATGTCACTGTGTGTCCACATAAAATCACTAATGATTTTCAAGTAATAATTAAAATAATTGACATATTATTATGTTTAGTTAAAAAAAAATAGCTGGGAGCATTTATTTGTTTGATGTGGACTATATTTTTAACATTTTTCATACCCACAAATCATAATATTTTATTGTTGTATTTTGGTCTATAAATTTTAAATATTATAATTTATTACCATATGTATTATAAGAACTCAATGTCTGAAACTTGAAGGTTACTTAATACGACGACTATTATTTGTGTTAAGCAATTAATAAACGAATCCAAAACTTTTTACGAAAATATAATGTATTTGATATAAAATGCATTTTTATCGAGGTTACTACACTAAGACGTATGATTTCAGTCATTTAATTGGTTTCACGCTAGACGCATGTCTTACTTTATCAATTCGTGTTACTCGCAATAACCGTATTTCGAGTTGCAAATAACCGAATAAAAAAACATTGAATTTAGAATATATGACCATAAATTGGAACAAGAAATCAAACATTTAGAATAATGCCTATTTACTCGACTACTATAGATAATATTTCTGAATATTGGTAATGGTTGCAATCTGAATCAATAAAGAATAATCATTGGAATATATTTTTTAACTTTACCTACATCAGGTGTTTGGCTTACAATCTCTTTGTATCTTCAATAGAACCGGAATCCAAGTTTCAAAAAGGCGCGTGTGTATACTAGAAAACAAAAATAAAAATAATAATTGTGTAATAAATATTTCATCTTATTTAAAAGGAGAATGAGAAATGTCTTATTCATTTATAATTCTGTTTTTTTTTTTAAAACATTACAGAAATATTTATAAATTAATTACTGTTTAGTTAATTTTTAGTTCATAAACCTGTTTAAAGAATTATAATAGTATATTAATATATTATATAACTAGCTTCAGTGGTAGAAAATTAGTCATCGAGTTTATTATTATATTCAATATAAATACTTGATACTATATTAAAGTTATTTTAAACGGGCTACGCAACTGATATATTCTGAATTCTGATATTATATATTGTAACAAAATAAATGATGTTGTATTTTATTATTTGTTATTAGTATTTGAAGTTAATAGTTTTCAACGACCGTTTTTTTCCTCGTAAAATAGTAATTTTTTCACTTTACTTTCATTTTCACCGAATGGCTGATGGCAGGTATGAGCGGGCATACAAGTCTAAAAATTCCAACTACTTGAAATGAAAGTTTTTCCAATTACCAATAGCGTTGCGAACCGGGGTTAATAACCTGACTGACTGGCACGTAGTTAAGCGTTGACCAGTCCGAAGAGAGTCGGGACTTTTTTCTTATAGAAAATGGTCATCGTCATGTATTCCAGTAAATTTCTATCACGAATCTGGTAGACTTATCTGATGATCGATTATCGTTTTCGACATGGATATTATAAATGTAGAAAAATAGCGTAGGTAATGAAAATTACTAGACAAGCTTGTTTTTTACTCATGTACACTTGTAGTACCTACTGTGAGATCTGTAAAATGATTTCGCCAGGACAGTCCGATAACAATTATATTACCTATCGTAAATTAATTATGTAGTAGGTAAGCAATAAATTATAGTGATGATTTTATCTCGTATTTAGACACACTTCAATGAATTCTGTTTAACGTAACAATAAATATTATGTTTAATAAGGACGAAATCTCTCTAATATTATATTAGGTACACCCTAACCTTGGTCTGCTCTATTAGGTACGTTTTATTTTAATACTAGAAAAACTCTGTCATACAACTCACAAGCTATAATATTGTTGAACCGTGACAACGGAAGTAGCACTCTTTAATTACTATGAATATTAAGTATAATAATATTTGTATAAGAGCGAAATTATAAAAGTGAAAACGTGCTGTATTATATTTAAAAAAAACGTTTTTAATATTAAATTATTAATTGTTTTGCTGTAAGGTCAAATATAACTATTTTTTTTTTAAATTTAAATTTTAATATTCGTAAAAATAATATTATTATCTCACTCAATTGACGTGGTTCATTTATCTTCTCAGCAATATAATTGTAGCGTGTATGTATTTACTCTGAGATGATAAAACTGCGGTGGATCACTGATTATGCGTCACACATAGCCGTGGGCTTATACATCTTATTAGTTCTTATTTTTATTTTATAAATGTCGATACGTATAAATGGTACCATTTCTGTGACCATGGTCTGAGTCATAGACAAATAAATAATATTAGCCTTTACATTAAATTTTTATGGTACACAGTATACGCAAAAACTACCATATGTGATTGAATCGAAATATAATGTCCACCTACTATAAGTACATGTGCTTTATATACGTTGTAAAAATGTAATATAGTTTTATACACTTGTTAAATCCAAAATATAATATCGTTTTGAAGAAAGGAAAAGAAATCAAAGTATTTTATATTTTAAACGAGCGGTAAGTTGTAAGTAAAAATACGAAAAGTACCTATAATTACATATCTGACGGTATAAACATTATATTAGCATTTTACAAAAGCATAATAATAATAACAAGATGTTACTGCAGAAGCTTCATGAGAATTATATTAGAGTTCTCACTTTCGCGTTGTTTATTTTCTATTCTTTAAAAGGTATTAAACGATTATGTTTAGTTTTTTCACTAGCAAGTGAAACTGTTTTTACATTGCTATTGGTAATGTAAAAACTAGATATTATTATACTAACTACATGTTATATTGTACGGGTGAGAATGTGGCTTAGCAGTTAGCACAAAAGAAAACAGAGAGAATGCAATTGGAGCTTAGTTACGTGAACGTTGTAAATGGATGCAGTGGCTACAGAAAAGACTTGCAGAGTAGAAGTAAACATATTAATATTTATTATTTTCTAAAAAGGATCAAACTTTGGACATTAAATTATTACAGTACCTATGCGATTATTTTTCGTGT